ATTCCATTTTTGATTCTTTTTTAAAACACAGGAAAGGTTTTTCTTTATCTTGCTAACAGTTTCGTTTGCGTCTGCAAACTTCCTCAGGCTGACGCTGATGGTGGCGTCACTTCCTTCTCCGTTTATCCGCGGGCAGCAGAGGACGTTGTCGCCCTCTACTGCCCGCTCTCCCCTCTCCGACGATGCAGTCCCATGCGTGATCCAATGAGTAAACTCCATCGTCCCTGTTCATGGTCCCACATCCACGTCTCCTTATCTCGATAGCTTCTTTTATCCATCTTTTGTAATTTTCTTGTTCGGTGTTTATGATCCTTGTGTTGTCCCAGTCCATTACATGGTTTTCTCTTGTGCAGTGATCTGTTACGGCTGACTTCTTTATTGTACTTTCTGCTTCTTCTTTTGCTGCTCTTGTGTGTTTTCTACTTGTTTCTTTCTCGCACTCCTTTCTGTGTTCTATTGTTCGTGTGTTGAGTTGGCGTCCGGGTTCTCCTATGTATGTTTTATTGCAGAGTTTGCATGGGATTTCATAAACGACTCCACATTTGGTATCTTGTCTTTTGGGTGTACTAGTCTGTTTCTAACTGTTGTGTATGGTTTTGTTGGTGTGTTTGTAACGTGATGACGGAGCTATTCCACCGAAGGTTATTTACCCTCTCTCCTCAGATGTCTCTGACACATAACTAATCTGCATGAGACTGCCTGCTCTGCTTCTAAACTGCTTCCTTTCCAGCTCAAGAGAAGAAAGAAGACGAACTCTTTCTTTTTAATAAATCAAAGAACTCTATTTTTAATAAAGCTAATCAAACAAAGTGTTAGTCGGATAATAATGTGGACCAATCTGTGAAATAATGTTATGATTAGTAAGCTTTAATAAGTAATATGACTTGAATCTAGCTGAACTAGAGATCCTGATCCACGTAAACACATGACACATTGCTTTTACTCATCCAATCAGAACCTTCCTTTCTGAAGCATGGCATAGTCTCTGTGGTGTTTATAAATCTGTCCCAACTTTCATTCGACCGTAAATCAAAACATCAGATTAATAAAACCAGTCCCCACGCCATCTTAGTTCAGTTCACCGCATTCTAAGAGAAGTATCGGACCGGCCACCCGGACTTCCTTTTTAAGCAGAGAACCAACAAGCTGGATAAAATCTGTTGCACTTTACCAACCAAGCAACGGTTCCTTTCAGAATAAAAGCTGAACTCACTGACCCTCAGGGTCCATCTGACGCTGTCAACCAACTGTCGCTTTTTACCTGGAGACAATCCAAAGACTAGTCTGTCGTACTGCTGACGCTGTTTCATCGGCTCCGGTACCGAAGAGGGGTCGAGGACCTGGCATTCTGGATCTGTACGGAGGTCTCATCCTGAAGGGTATGTGTGCAGCGACAACATGGCGTCTCATGTGTTTATGAAACTCTGATCATAGCTTAAGAGCAAAACATCACTTCATCATTCAGACTTGCTTCTCCGGATACGAGAGAAGAAGAAAAAGAAAATATCATTTATATAGCGCCTCTCAAGATAAAAACCACGAGGCGCTTCACAAAAACAAAAAATGTAAAAATATAAAAAAGAATTTAGAAAATGTTTAAAAATATATTTAAAATGAGCAAAAATAGACAATTGTGATTAAAAAAATGTTAAGAAAGAGAGAGAGTGAACAGGAAAGAGGGAGATCAGTGGATCCTGAGGAAGGTGGAATAGGTGGGGAGAGCAGAATAAAGAGAGAGAGGTGAAGAAGGTCATACAAAAGCCAGCTTGAACAAGTGAGTCTTCAGCTGCTTTTTAAAGGAGACCACTGAGTCCACTGATCTCAGGCTCAGGGGGAGAGAGGTCCAGAGTCTGGGGGCCACAGCAGCAGATGATCTGTCACCTTTGACCTTTAGCCTGGTGCTGCACAACCAGTAGGCTTTGGTCACTGGACCTCAGGGACCTGCTGGGGGTGTAGGGACTAAGAAGATCACCAATGTAAGATGGTGCTTGTCCATGTAAGGCCCTATAGACCAGAACCAGGATCTAGAAATGAACCCTGAAGTTGACTGGCAGCCAGTGAAGCTGGAGGAGAAGCGGGGTGATGTGGGTGTGTTTGGAGGACTTGGTCAGAAGCCGAGCACAGGCGTTCTGAACCACCTGTAGACGGTTCAGGGAGGTTCTGCTCAGACACGTGAAAAGAGAGTTACAGTAGTCTAAGCGTGAGGAGATGAAGGTGTGGAGAACTGTCTCAAGTTCAGAGCGGGACAGAATGGGACTCAGCTTAGCAACGTTCCTGAGATGGAAGAAGGAAGAGCCAACAAGAGAACTGACATGAGAATCCAGGGTGAGAGCTGGGTCAAAGGTCACGCCAAGATTCCTGACAGAAGGTTTGGTGTGGGAAGCAAGCTGACCAAGAGAGTCTCTGACTTTGGGAACCAGCTTGTCTGGGGCACAGATGAGGATCTCAGTCTTATCTTCATTCAGCTGAAGAAAGCTCCCACCATCCAGGTTCTGATAGAGTCTAAGCAGGTGTGTAACAGCTGCAGCTTAGACATCTCATGGGGCTTAAAGGAGATGTACAGTTGGATGTCATCTGCATAAAGATGGTAGGAGATTCCTTTGAAGGAGCTCAGGATGTGCTGAAGAGGAAGCAGACAGAGGAGGAAGAGCAGAGGCCCCAGCACAGAACCTTGTGGGACACCATGGGTAAGAGAGGTGGTGGAGGACCTAAACTTGGAGACGGCCACAGAAAAGGAGCGCTCAGAGAGATAAGAGGAGAACCACTCCAGAGCAGATCCTGATAGGCCTACCCAGTCTCTCAGCCTCTCCAGTAGCAGGTGATGGTCAACAGTGTCAAAGGCTGCAGTCAGGTCCAGCAGGACCAGAACAGAACCGTCCCCTGCATCACTGTGGGTCAGAAGGTCATTAGAGACCCTAAGAAGAGCTGTTTCAGTAGAATGAGCTCTACGAAAACCTGACTGGAAGCTATCATAGATGTTATGCTCATCAAGAGCAGCTGTGAGTTGTTTAGCCACAACCTTTTCCAAGATCTTGGAGATGAACGGAAGTTTAGAGATGGGTCTGAAGCTGCTATGGAGAGAGGGGTCGAGACTCGGTTTTTTAAGAAGCGGGTGGATTACAGCGTTCTTAAAGTAAGCAGGGACCTGACCAGAGACCAGAGAAGCATTAATTATAGAGAGCACGCTGGGACCGATGGACTGAAAAGCACTTTTAAACAAAGATGAGGGTAAGATGTGGAGGGGGCATGCAGAGGTCTTCATAGAGTTAACTAGTTTGGTTAACTCAGGCAAAGAAACAGGAGCAAAGCTATCTAGGCTGATGGGCCTGGTTGGAGTCGGGAGAGGCGGCGATAAGGCTGAAGGAGAGATGCTAGATCTAACCTTATTGACTTTGTCCACAAAGAAAGACAGAAAGTTCTCACAGTCTGCAACAGAGTGGATGGAGGCTGTAGGAGAGGCAGGAGACACGATGCTGCTGATGGTGTTAAATGAATGAATTACAAATTCAATATTTATTTGGAAACTTTAACATTTATAAATGTATGAATAACACGGTGAAAATATGACTTCGAAAAATTGAACTCCCCATTTTTTCTCTTATAATATTCTAAATAACCAAATATATTGCTGTTTGATTATGACTGTTTGACTTTACAAATGGCACCCCATAGAAGGGCTCGACACACGGGGGCGACATGGCCTCTCCCTTCGTTTATACGAGATGTGCGACAAAGCGATAATCGTGGGTCTCCCTCCTGCTCAGCGACACGCTAAAAACGTGCGTGTGAACGCTCGTGTGTGTCGTGCTCAGGCGAGTCAGCGACGCGACCCCAGGAAGTTGAAAATGTTCTACTTGCCATCGCTGTCGCTTGGACAAGGACCAATCAGCGGAGGTTTCACTGACTGACCAATGAGCAGACGGGATGCTTCTCAGTGCAAACATGGAGGAGAAGGTACTTGTTGTCATGTGGCATTTCCCAGAGCTTGACCAGAGGCAGCAGCACGGGGACTTGTTGGTGAGCAGGTTGTTGGTGTGGTCGTTCTCCGTGATACGAGACGAAGCCATCCACGTGTTTCTACGTGGAATAACAGACTTCACTGACCTCCAGTCACACCTTCATCTCTACCAACTCCCAACTGCTTTAATACCAACACTCCCTCCAGTCTGACGGCCGAGCAGAACCGGCCGGGCCTTTCGCCCCGGCTTCTACCGCGGGTCACATGTCTCCTCCCATAACACATCACTCCTCAGTGGTTCCCAAAAAGGTATCTGGGTGATCACCCTGCATCAGCTTTTATAGCAGGCACAAATACGTCAACAAGTCTAATACCCAGCCGTGCTGATTCACGGTTAAGTCATTTCAACTGCAAAACTCGTGAAGTCCTCGACACCGTTGCACCTGAAATGGTCAAACCTGTCTGACAACCACAAAGCTCAGAAACGTTCAGGAAAAGCACCCTACCAGATCCCCACGACACCTTCAACATGCAGCTGGGCACCTGCAAGAGACAAGTCTTTTCTGCAGTCATCAGTGATCACCTGAACAACTCGTGTGCTTCGTTCTGAAGTGCATGAGTACTCAGTAAACACACCAGCAGCTGGAGCCAGCAGCTTCCACACGCTCAACATGAACATCATGGTGGTTTCTGGGGCGGTGCAGCTTAAGCCTTTGTCCTCGTGGCATTTACTTTTATACGAGTTGTTTTAAAACCAGTACTTTACTCTAGTAAAGAGCTTGACCCAATACATTTTACACCCTAGTATCTGTACTTCTACCTACATGTGATACTTCGTTAGCTTACATAGCTTCCAGGTGCTCTCAGCTACTCTAGATTAGGTACGTAGGCCAAAAGGCCCTGGTTCATTATTTGGCAACTACACATTGTTGCTTTTCCACCCAGAATTATAGGATTATAATTCACAGATTAACAGCCGAGTCCTGACGTGAGTGTGGGCGGGGTTAGGCCGTGATGGCTAGCACAAGCACGCGGCGGCTGGTACATGTTGCTGTGTTTAATTGGCATTCCTCAAACAGATCAAACTACAACACTTTCTCAAGTTCAGACAGACATCATGGATTCTTCTCAAAACATCACCGTACACGGGAAGTTCACGTAAAACCACCGAGTTAAAAAAGGTCTGTATGCTTCCTCACCAACGCCGAGTAGAGGCCCACCTCCCTGGTTCAGAAGCACCGTGGTGCTCCTAACCGTAGCTTTGTTAATTATTTGGTAAAACCAGCTGCTGGAACGCTCATATGAGCTCACGGTCAGGTCGGTTCTGGTATCAGTGGGGCTTTTTAGAGATGACTGGGTGCACATCTAGTTAGCTGCAGTCTTTCATCTAAACAGGTCACAGAGGTATTTTCATGTAAGTACGTGTAGGAGAAGATACGCAGGATCTAGCAGGAAAAGCAACGTTAGATGATGTTAAATTATAACGTAAAGGAGACCAAAAACATGCAAAAGAACCAAGTTGGCATCATTACATATACAGATATATACACACAGTTATGCACTTGCAAGAGACTTCTCCAGAAACAGTAAAACAGATGTAAACGAGGGACTTGGCTGTAAGACCCGTGGTCTGTTTGGTGCTCCATGACTGAACCCAGTTCCTCGTCAGCCTCGTAAATGTGGTAAAAACGGGTCCAGATAATACAAAGTGATTCACAAGCAGACATTTAAAACTGAGAAGGACTCTGAGGAGCAGTCGGTGGCGGGCTCCTCGTCCACGCGTGTCCCCGTCACAAGGCAGTCGTCAGAAAGAAGGCGGTTCTGGTGAGGTCTGAGTTCAGCTCGTTTCAGACTGAAGCATTCTGATGTCTAGTGAGGTATTAGTCCCGTCTGGTGCTTCGGCTTTTCCTACAACAGCAGAGGACAGTTTGGCTGCTTAGTTGATGACTGAGGACAGGTGACTTTGGTGACTTTCATCTCGATCCGTCGGAGTCCTTCTGCTTCTTTCTCTGAGCCGACATTAAAAACAGGCAGCAAACTGTTGTTTTATAAACGATGGCGCCCGAGGCGTTTTCACGCTCCAGTCGTGGTGGCGGGAGTCTGAAGGAGTCGCCGGAGCCCAGCGGCGTGTGGGAAGAGCCTGCTCCTTCAGCGGGACGCTTTAGTCTGCTGCGTGTCGCTGCAGCGGGGGTGCTGCTGTCTTCAGTCTTTGGGCTGTGGCGGCCATGTTGGAGCCCAGCTTGTTTCTGGCCTGAAACAAAGGGGTTGGCACCAACCTGACCCTAGCAACGGTCTTCTCCAGAGGCCCGTTTCTCCAAGGGGAATGAAGCGGTTACAGTACAACATGTATGACAGCCAGCTGGCTCTGCGGTTTGACAAGCAAACAGATGGGTCGTGATGAGTCAGGAGCTGTCCTGCAGGGCTTTGTTGTCAGTAATCCCAGTCGGAGACCTGGAGCGGTGCAGAGCTACTGTCCCGGCACATACGGCCAGCTGATGGAGCTTCCGGAGAGCTGCATGTCTCGGATCAGCGTCTCTATGGGGGTCTTTCCTACCAGGCGCATGAAAAACAGCTGAGAGATGAGGTTGGCAGGGACGGCGCGCAGGGCGGGCAGGCGCAGCAGCAGCCGGCCGAAGCGCTGCGGCTGGCTCGGATACTGCATCCGCTCATACTCCGTCAGAGCCACCTGAGCCTTCTCCTGCAGAGACTCCACGTGGACCGGGTCCGTCAGGCCACAGGCATCTGGGAGGAGGGAGGAGGGAGGCTACATTAGGAGTCGTGATGAGCGGAGACTAAAACATCAGTGACCTTTGAACCTGAACACCCCAATGGGAACTTCTCAGCTATGTTTACGTCCTTTAATCCTGTCTGACCAGTTTTGTTAGAGATTAGCCACCACTTGTGCACAACACGTGTAGTGAAACACGCACAAGACTAGGTGTCTGCCGTTACACCACCAGACCAGAGGGTGGCGCTACAGCCGGTTATGTTTAGTTCTGAATCAACAAGCCTGCTGCACACGAGAGCAACCGGACTCCAACGACTTAGCTCAGCAGACACCTGGCTGTGTGTTCTGCCTCACAAGACGCCGAGGTCAAAGTTTAACCGGTTCGATATTGTCCATCTCACGGGGGGGGGGCTTCTCTGCTCACATGACCCCAAGATGGCTGCCCCTGTCTGCATGTCAGAAAGTAAACAGAACGCAGACAGAGCTGGAATCGGAGGAAATGCTTCTACTTGTCAGACCAAAGACTTTACAGATGGACCCAACGCCTCCCTGCTTCACACCCAGCTGTAAGACGTTGGACGGGGGTTAGACCACCCGATAGTTCCCGAGCGCAGCCACAGCTCACCGCGCCCCACCATGGGGGAGGGTCACATGCGGAGATGAATTCACTAGTGTGTGATGATGACTCTGGGACTTGTTCTGTTGATTAGGCGTCGCCTGTGTGTGTGTGTGTGTGTGTGTGTGTGTGTGTGTGTGTGTGTGTGTGTGTGTGTGTGTGTGTGTGTGTGTGTGTGTGTGTGTGTGTGTGTGTGTGTGTGTGTGTGTGTGTGTGTGTGTGTGTGTGTGTGTGTGTGTGTGTGTGTGTGTGTGTGTGTGTGTGTGTGTGTGTGTGTGTGTGTGTGTGTGTGTGTGTGTGTGTGTGTGTGTGTGTGTGTGTGTGTGTGTGTGTGTGTGTGTGTGTGTGTGTGTGTGTGTGTGTGTGTGTGTGTGTGTGTGTGTGTGTGTGTGTGTGTGTGTGTGTGTGTGTGTGTGTGTGTGTGTGTGTGTGTGTGTGTGTGTGTGTGTGTGTGTGTGTGTGTGTGTGTGTGTGTGTGTGTGTGTGTGTGTGTGTGTGTGTGTGTGTGTGTGTGTGTGTGTGTGTGTGTGTGTGTGTGTGTGTGTGTGTGTGTGTGTGTGTGTGTGTGTGTGTGTGTGTGTGTGTGTGTGTGTGTGTGTGTGTGTGTGTGTGTGTGTGTGTGTGTGTGTGTGTGTGTGTGTGTGTGTGTGTGTGTGTGTGTGTGTGTGTGTGTGTGTGTGTGTGTGTGTGTGTGTGTGTGTGTGTGTGTGTGTGTGTGTGTGTGTGTGTGTGTGTGTGTGTGTGTGTGTGTGTGTGTGTGTGTGTGTGTGTGTGTGTGTGTGTGTGTGTGTGTGTGTGTGTGTGTGTGTGTGTGTGTGTGTGTGTGTGTGTGTGTGTGTGTGTGTGTGTGTGTGTGTGTGTGTGTGTGTGTGTGTGTGTGTGTGTGTGTGTGTGTGTGTGTGTGTGTGTGTGTGTGTGTGTGTGTGTGTGTGTGTGTGTGTGTGTGTGTGTGTGTGTGTGTGTGTGTGTGTGTGTGTGTGTGTGTGTGTGGTGGCTGGAAAGAAGGGCCAGGCAAGGAGTTTTCGCCATTCTACTCCCAGAGATGCACCTTGGAGACCCAGAATGTGTCTGACAGAACCGCCTCCCGGATCCTGGATCCTTCGTCGGGAGGGTGGTGGAAACAGCACGGTACCGTTTAGTTCATGTTTCTGACATGACGGGGGGGGGGCTGCACCTGAATACATCCTGGAATCATGTGAGCGGACAACGCGCTGTGATTGGCCACTCGGCCAGCAGCTCACACGGTGAGTTTTTACCCCGTGAGGTGAAAATATCAAAGCGGTTTGATTTTTAGAGCCTGGGTGTCCAACGCGTCCCTCGCCTGGAAGCAGCCAGCGAGCCACCCGGACTTGTAGTTAACGAGGGACGCATTTTATCCGTTTTCTGTGATCCGATTGGCCTGAACGATTTTTCTAGAAGGAATTGTAATTTCAGTTCAACTCACGACTTTCTTCACATCACAGTTCAACACATTATTATAGTCATATAACTCATACCATTGTCAAAGGCTGCAGTCAGGTCCAGCAGGACCAGAACCAGAACCCTGCATCACTGAGAGTCAGAAGGTCATTAGAGACCCTAAGAAGAGCTGTTTCATTAGAATGAGCTCTACGAAAACCTGACTGGAAGCTATCATAGATGTTATGTTCATCAAGAGCAGCTGTGAGTTGTTTAGCCACAACCTTTTCCAAGATCTTGGAGATGAACGGAAGTTTAGAGATGGGTCTGAAGCTGCTATGGAGAGAGGGGTCGAGACTCGGTTTTTTAAGAACATTTACAAATGTTGTCTGAGCATCCTTTAAGCTGTCACTCAGTCTAGTTGCCATGGCAACGCGGTGTTTATGACGATGGAGCCGAGGAGGTTCTGGAGGGTTCTCATAGTTGTAAAATAAAATGTGAAGTGGAATCGGATTGGTGAGGTTTGTCTGTGGCGCCACAAAGGGTCCAAAACCCGGTAAAGCAGAAGGATTTCCTTTGAGATCCTCCAGAGAGCACCATCTGTTAAATCCTCCAATAACAGATCAGCTATGATATGATGTCAGATTCCCGTCGGGCACGGGTGTCTTCATAGGTTTTAGCTCCAATAATGAGACCTAAGTCATTATTTATTGGGTAAATCGAGTTAGTGGATGACTTGAGACATTCAGAGCTGCGGTTCCGCGTTCTACCACTAGAGGCTGTTCGTACGCACGAGTTCAGATCTTCTTACATTTAGGAACATCCCTACGCACAGCTACAAGTGGGTAAATACCACACCACGCGTAAACCCGTGCCTACGTACCAAATACGCACGGATGTGTTGATGAAAGCGGGTTTCAGGAACGTCCCATCTGCAGTGGCTCGATAACAGTTTAAATGCCGTTTGTTTATGAAGATGAGCACAGGCCTCCAAACTCTGGACATCTCCTGTGATTTAGTTTCACCACATTTCCCTCGGCAGCTTCAGCTTTAGTAATAAAACACGAGTTTTAAAGCAGCCGCCACCCTCCACCCTCATTATTGTCAACAATAAATGCAGCACAGCATCGTTTTACCCGCAGTAGTGAGCAAAACTTCACTTTCAGGAGCAAAAACCCTTAAAAATGATCAAAAGAATCAGGAAAGCAGGAAGAAATGCTATTTGTCTTTTTACTTTTTTCACTCCAGTTCAGATTATTTGTGTTTTCATCACATTTAGCTCGTATTTCATTCAAACTATCTTCAGCTTCATTCATTTATGATCACATTTGTTTGGCGTTGTTTGGAGAATTCATCAGAACAATTACTTGAAAGGTTTCTATTAAACGCCACTTAAAGAACATTAAACGGCATTCTATGGTTTTTGTTCATTCATGAGAAAGACGTTGACAGGGTCAGGGACCGGACAGCGCCTTATGTTTGGGCTAGCGTGAGGACCTGTTGTAGACATGTCTATAATCACTCACGTACAACTAAATGTTTGCATTGCAGTTTTAACATAGAAAGCACCAATGTGAATAAATGGTATGGCTGTGGCTCTTTCCTCGTGTAAAAGTAGCTCACTAGAGCCCTGGTGTACAGAGGCAGTTCAGGTACCAGCAGGTTACCTGGGGAGAACAGAGCGATGGCCTTGAGGCAGCTGTACTCAGCCGAGTCCACCTGAAGCCGGGTCAGCTTGTCCACCTGGTCCTGGAACATCCTCACCTGGTCCATGAAGGACACCACGCGCTCGGCAGACATTGGGGACGAGTGGAAACCAGCTGCAGCCAGCAGGGGCGCCATGTGCAGAGGCAAGGACGACTGCGCCGCGTTGAGGATGAAAAGCTCACTCCAGCTCAGCCTCAGCAGCGCCACCTGTAGAGACAACGATGACATTGCTGCTGCCTGCATTCATTATGGGTCATGTGACGCCATCTGCTCACCTGGTCCGAGACGGGCAGCTCGGGGAAATACGGGATGTTTCTGGCCCACTCCACAGTGCTGAAGAGCAGCCGTGCAGCTAGTTCACAGATGTTATCTATTCCCATGGCGTTGTCTGGACCAGCCTGCTGGTTGTACTGGTGTCCATATCGGCTGTTGGGATACGGCTCGGCTCGCAGCAGCTGGGAAATGAGCTCCGACACTGGCTGACCGTCACCGCCCCTTCCTCCATTGTTGTTGGTGTAGAACTCACCTCCTCCAAGGCCGCTGACACCACCTATGGGAGTAATGGAAGGGCTGAGGCTGGGCTGGGGGGGGATCCGACCGCGTTGAACTGCTGTAGTTTGGTTGGGGGACCAGGGGGGAGGTGTGGTGAGTGAGGGGAGGGGAGGGAAAGCACAAGGAAAGAAGAGTTAAAACGATTACATCATTACTGGAGAGGTCAGAGGTCAGAATGCAGGCCTGAGCCAATCAGGGAGCTCCTTATTAAGAAGCAGCTGCTGAGGTCTTCACAAACATCCAGCAGGTCCTGGAACACCTGAGATAGGATTAGCTACACCTAGGGGTAGTTGCAGTTTCTGCTGATCACCGATCTGAAGGAAAACCTGACTTGTCGATACCGATTTAGTCTCGACTAAATGCAGATTAGGTCAATGTTTCACCTTCCTTTCATCGAGACAACCAACATGAATCCTCATGAAACGACACCAGTTCCAACCGGACAGGAGGTGATGTTCTCAACTACAAATGAACTCATTTAGCAGAACCACTAAATCGTATTTGTTCCTTTGGGCCAGGGGTGCCCAATCCCGGTCCTGGAGGGCCGGTGTCCAGCATGTTTTGGTTTTAACGCTGTTTCAACACACCTGATTTCAATCAGCAGGTGATCAACAGGCTTCTGCAGAGCCTGATGAGCTGCTGCAGGTGATTCAGCCACTGAATTAAGTGTGTTGGAGCAGAGAAACCACTAAAACGTGCTGGATACTGGGTTAGGGTTAGGTTCATTTGTACCTGTTTTGACACACTTGTCATTTAAAGAGCAAGTCACATCAAAATCAACTTATTTTAGCTGATAACGAGTATAAATGAGTGTCTAATAGTGTTGTAGACGTGTGTAGTTATTATTTTTGCATTTTGATGCGTTTTCTTTGATAACTCTAAATTCGGTCTACAAACGTCAGTCTAGCGCCCTCTTCAGCTCAAAAGTATCGAACACGTTTATTATGAGTCGGTTTTAGCCAGTGGCTAACGAGAACAATGCTACGTATTTCAGAAAAGTACTACGTAGCAGCTCTGTGGCTGTAGGTTATAAAAGCACCGCGGTCTCAGCCAGCCTTGTAGCAGTCGGGGCTCGTGAGTGGGCTGTGCTGTAGCTAGCATTAGCACTGAGTCAGAGTCCCAGCAAAACTTCTAGTATTAAAATCATTTAGTTCCAGTAGCTTGGCTGTTAATATTGTAGTTAAGTGTCTTTTACATGTGACTCTTTCACCAACTTGATGGAGTTTGAACCGGTCATGCTGGTTTGAAGAGTATTTCATAAATTAGTCCAAGCTGTGCCAGTAATTAGCCAGATCCCGCCGACTGCCGCTTCCCCAAAACGGAGATTTTGGGCCCAATCTGAGGTGAGTTAGCTAAATAATTACTTTAAACAGCTTCTAAAGATTGTTCTCTACCTGTACTGTTGCAGCTATAATTGCTATATTTATAATTACAAAATAAGAGAGACGTGGACGTGGTTCACGTAATTTAGACAATCAGTCCACACTGCCGCAGGCTCGAAGCGAGTGGTGTGTGTGTGTGTGTGTGTGTGAGGGAGAGATAATGTCACAGACTGGTTCGGGTTGAGTTTTTGTGCCAGTTAGTAATATCAGCGCTGATGCAGAGCAGGAGGGACACTGACGAGCAGCTCCTCCTTCTGCTAAAAAGCTGACCCGGTTCTGAACTGGTGCTGAGCCCGGTTCTCATTAGAACCTGTCTGATTCTGGACCCTGAGTTAGCTCAGAGAGCAGTCAGATCACTCACCAGCCGTGTTATAAAGCACATATATTAGTTTGTTTTGTACACGATCTAAGTTACTATAGTTATTATATTTTTCAGGCTAAATCTGCCCAAGACGGAAGTGGTCCTCCTCCAGCCTGCACCGGTCCAGGCTAGAGCCTTGCAGGTGAATTATTTAACCATCTGTCTTTCTTTACCTTCTAGTTTTAACATTATGTCATTATTTTAGCTTATTGTTACACGTGTGTTGCTGCTCTTAAAAACAACTGTACATATATTTGCTGTTTCTTTATATTTCACACAGCCTCCCAGCAGCTGTGTGTCAGACACTGGGACCATGATGGGAATTGCACCCAGAGCAGCTTCTACACTCCTGAGCAGACCCAGGTGTGGTGGAGAGCTTCTGAGCAGCTTCCATCTGAATGACAGGACAAGCTGTGTGAACTGTTCTAGGTAAACAATATTATAAATAATAATATTGTACTCTTTAATCTGTTATTTTCTCACATCTCAGCCTGGCTGGTCACCACTGGAGAGGAGTAGCTTCCCAGACTCACACCAACATCCAGTTTTACCTCAGGGCCTCCTGATCTACCAGAAAAACCTGTAGCTCCATCCTTGCTCTGCCTTTGAGTTTGAACATTAACTATGTTTTTGTTTCATAGCTTATTGCTTCATGTGTGTTGCTGCTGCGAGCGTGGAGCTAGATTACATCATGAAGGAGGCTACTGATTCTGGTCCTGTGGCACTTGGTGACGTGTGAGCTGATTCATCTGGTAAACAACATGTAAATTAAATATTTTGTTTTTGCTATCAAAAGTAAATTAACTAATAACCTGCATTATTGCAGGACACTCAGCAAAGTATGGACGCTACACCATGAGGCAGGCACACATTAATATTCTATAAGAGCACATAAGGTGAGCAACACCACGTATTATTGTTATTACTGTACACTGTCCTGAATTTGTTTTCTTTCTGCATCTCATCATTAGCCTGGCTGATCACCTGATAACTCCTGTCATCTGGTTATGACAGCATGAGGATGTCCTCACACACCTGTAACCTATCAGCTCATCTGGCAGAATAGAGAGAGAAGAGACAACACCACATCTCCTGTTCCTGGAAAGCCTTCAGCCATCCTTCGATGACTGAGAACCTCCATCAGCTCTGTCTCCTGTCTGCCTACAATTATTATAATAAATATTGTGTTTGACAAGTTTTTTGTAATGCCAAATATCTCATTTTGATTCCAGTTTTGATATTTTAATGGATATTTATAAATTACATTAATTGAATTATCACATTGTCGCATGTTTAACTAGCTCTATTGTGATGAATTAAACTAGAACCTCACTGTTTAAAGCTCGTTTTAATTTCAAGCATGTTTAAGTATTTATGGACATGAACAAAAACAGGAAATATATAAATTGAGATTTATTTAATTAATATAACAAATAAGGGGGAAAGAGGCATTGAAAGGCACATTCTTCTGGAAGCTTCTGATCCTGACGACACCAGCAGAGACCACCTGCAGACACCAGAGGATCACCTGCAACCAAGAGCAGCTAGTATCAGTAAATAAATAATGAAATCAGGGCAGTTTAAGTGGGCTGAACACATTACAGAATAATTTTCTCATGGGGTATTTTCAAAACTTTCTATGCAGCAGACTGTAACTTGAGCCCAGGGCTCCAGGAGAGCTGCTATCCAGCATGTTTCAGTGGATTTTCCTGCTTTAACAGGTTAGATTAGCTGTTAAGCAGCTCAGCTATTTGTTGCTGATTAAAACCAGTTGTGCTGAAGCAGATAAACCTCTAAAACATGCTGAATACTAGCTCTCTAGGGCCGTGGAGCCAAACCCTGCAGCTAATCTAATGCTATGGCTAACTGCTACTTACCATTCAGAGCTGGTTCTGTTGGGTCGGTTCCTGTAGTTTCAGGCAACTCACAAGCTCAAAACATTAAGGCTCAGGTCCGCTCGTCTCCTCCAAATAGACTTGGTTCCTTTCTTCTCGAGTGTCTGGGTAAGGAGGGGGAGAAACGTCCTCCAGACTGCTCAGAGTGAAGGGAGCTAGCTTCGTCTCGTTACCCAACCATCTTCGACACTGCTGTGGCTCCGCCCTCTCTGTCCGTCAGGCAACGCCTACTAATGATGCATTTTTCATAATTGATACGTGGGTGGAGAAGGACTCTGAGGCATGCTTGACCTGTTCTTTAACCTTTATTTACCCAGCAAACGTCGCATGAATATACAATTAAACCATAGAGAACAAGTAAATGTATAAAACTAAGTAAAACAGTACACATCAGTGAGGTGCTGTGGAGATTTCTTCATTTAGATTTAAAAACACTCAGCCAAACAAGCGGTCAGCTTCCATTTTATCTGCAACTCTTTCCAAGTCGATGGTGCTGATGGACAAAGGCCGGCTCTCCTAGGTCAGTACGTACAGATGAGTCCGATAGCAACAGATGATCTATCAGCCGAAGAGGGTTATGTGGGGTTAGGGTAGCCTTGTATATAAATGTGTGAAGGTGCGATTTCCTCCTGACGGTCAAGGCAGGCCATCCCACCTGAGAGTACAACTCACAATGATGATCTATAGCAATGATGTGCTCTAACATTTACTAGGGGTGCACTCCTAGCTACAACTGGCCCATTTGGGGATTTTCATTCATGCTGGATGGACAGGCATGCTGACCTTTGACCTTGTGGGGTGGGGAGGGGAGGGGGGTCTCCACAGAGACGCATTAGCTTGCTTTGCATGTTGATTATGAGGAAAAACAAACCAAACAAACATGCCACTGATCTTTTTGTTGGTTTAAAAGACAATCGGACTGTGTTGTTGCAGTGGTGGTGGTGGTGGGTGGGGGGTGGGGGGTGGGGGGGGACACTGACCTGAGCTCCGCCCAACATGAACTCCACATATTGGGCTCTTCCTGATGGAGCCAACAGGTGGGAGGCTTACGGCGCAGACACAGGTGCTCTAGAGACTAGCCTGAGCCTACGGACATGCAACAGGGTATCTGCAGGTTTATGGGAGCCAAATTTAAGACCTTTTTAAGACCTTTTTAAGGCCACTTTGACCAGTTATTTTTTAAATTAAATTTAAACTATGATTTCCAGCTGTTGCCTGGAACGTCGCGAACGTGGGATTAGCCATCCAGTTACCATTAAACTTGCACTTCCCCATGGCGCAAGCTCCCACTAGCTTAACCAGCTAATGTGCTCATCTAAAAATAGCCCCCTTTCACTGAATGTGTGCGGTTCCGCTTACGCCATGTCGTACACAAAAAAATGCTGAACACTAACTAGAAATTCACGAAATTTTTATAGAAATAAAATAATCTTGTTCATTGGGTTTTTGGTCATTTAACACCTTTGGAGACTGTTTTTAAGGATTATTTGTCGTTTTTAAGGATTTTTAAGGCCTTAAATTTGGAAAAGCTAATTTAAGACTGTTTAAGGACCCGCGGATACCCGGTGCAAGCAGGACGTTGAGGATGGCACACATACCCTCTTTACGCATGCCCACATGGAAACACTTCTTCAGACGGCAGTACTGACACTGGTTCCTGTGGTGCTGATCGATCTGACACTCCCTGTTGGACCTGAGGATACAAACACAGCAGATGAGTCGGCATCCATCACAACCATCTATGATAGAGAAACCGCTCTGATTTACCTTTCTTCTCTCTGATTGGGCGATGTTAAACCCTATTTATCATATTTCTACACAGAAAACATTTCCACACATTTTCTAACTGAAGTTCACGTTCAGCATTTTTCAAACAGGAAGTGGGTGAATCAGCATCCTGATGACCTCAAATGTGCCAACTCTAGTAACTTTTAAATCCAAATGAAAAACCTTCATGTATTCATCAGCATTTGAATAAATGTTTGCTACGCTGCACTGACTGCTACCCTTATGTCTATGCCTTTTATCTGTTGGTTAAACCTGAAGTTTACGTCTGCATTTCTTTGTTTGCTGTCCTTGCTTCTGTAAAGCACTTCGAACGGCCTTTGTGTCTGAAACGTGCTACACAAACAAAGCTGCCTTGCCAAGCGTACAGTCAACTGTTGTCTTTTTTCTAAATAACTGATGGACTGAGGACGGATATACTGTAAGCTGCAGCAATCAAACGGACTAGCAGCCCTCAAAGCTCTTTGGACTTGCAGCGAACACGTGATATCAGGTAAGACGAACATTCATGTATTTCATGAGAGGCAGGAATACATGCGATGTGTTTATATGGATACTCCCAATGGATGGAAGTAGGGCTGCAACAACGAATCGATGAATTCGATGAAAATCGATTACTAAAAGCGTTGGCAACGAATTGCGTCATCGATTCGTTGTGTCGCACAACTCTTCCAAAAGCGCCCCCCCCCCCCCCCCCTCCCGCCCACCGTTGCGCGCAGACCAGAGCAAGTCAGATCAGCGCGAGGGAGAGCCGCAGATCAGCGCGAGGGAGAGCCGGTACAGGCAGATCAGCGCGAGGGAGAGCCGCAGATCAGCGCGAGGGAGAGCCGCAGATCAGCGCGAGGGAGAGCCGGTACAGGCAGATCAGCGCGAGGGAGAGCCGCAGATCAGCGCGAGGGAGAGCCACAGATCAGCGCGAGGGAGAGCCGGTACAGGCAGATCAGCGCGAGGGAGAGCCTGCAGACTTGCGCTGCTGCGAACCGGTTCCGCATTGTTGCACAGCGATATATGGCAAGCCAAAACCGTCACAATACGCCACTTTCCCAACCCGTCTAGTTAAGAAATGGCGAAAAAAACGCCGTTTGATGTGCCAAGACGTCGTAAAATACGGCGAAAACTCTGCCAGAACGCCGTAATTTACGCCGTTCTGAACGGTCCCGTAGAACGCCCGTAAAATACGCCGTTTTTTCCGGACATTGAACGCCGTTTTTTACGTCACCCTAATCCCAGACGCGTTCTCTGTGTGGGTGGCGTAAAATACGGCGTTTGGTACGGACATTGAACGCCGCTTTTTTCGCCGTTCTGTGACATAAAACGCCGCTTTTAACGCCACTTTGTGACAGTTTTAACGCGTTTAAAATTCAACTTTACTCTCATTTATGCAGAGCCCTCCCCATGGGTTTCTCATCCACTTAATTTAAACTCCAGTGACCCAATGAAAGACGAGGAGGTTGAGGCAGCACTAATTCATCCCAGATTCGCCGGGCTGTCGGGCTGTGCGGATTGCTGTTTTCTAATACAACTCGGCTCTGTTTCAACTAATTTCACTGTATTGAAAAAGCCTTGAAATGTAGTAATATTATCAACAATGTGTCAACATTATTATTTTTTCTGTCCACCTGTAAAAGGCAGAAACGCTGTTTCAGTCAGACCTGATGATTACTTAAAAGTGTGGCTGCCGTATCAGTCTGTCCTCGTGGCTCGTGAGTCCAGCTGAAACATCAGTGCTCTTTCTGTCCAAAACTCCATTCTTCTTAAGTTAATCCACTTTCAGTATTTACTATTGTGACAGTGTGTGTGTGTGTGTGTGTGTGTGTGTGTGTGTGTGTGTGTGTGTGCTGTCGCAACGTCCCGATTGATCATGCGCCCTGGCTACTTGGGCAAGGGGATGTTCCTTTGGCTGACTGGTTAGAGCGTATGACTCTCACCCGGGAGTCTGGGGATCGAATCCCGCCCGAGCCCTCGTTTATCCACCTGGCCACACTATTGTTTTTTTTTTTTTTTTCGTTTTTTTTTAAACGACTGTTATACTTGTCTTACAGGAGCTTCTGAAGATGTTCTGTCTTGCTTCTCCATCATCACTCTCCAGCTCCTCAGACCAGCCACTCCAGAACCTTCCCAGATCCAGGATCAGAGCACTTTAATTAAAGTTTGAAACATGTCTGCTTGTTGTTCTATAGAAGCCTTAAACTAGAATTTGCTAATGAGCTTTCTTGGCTAAAATATGCTCTTAAATGTTTTTATTTACATAATCAAGAAACACGTTTTTCATTGCTGCTTCACCAAGACATGACTCTGAGAATGTCCTCAAGATCCTGAAACGCTGGTTAAAACAAATTACTTTTAACCTCTTATAAAACAAACGTGCCTGTTGATGATTATGCCACTATACTGAAGCACCTGCATACTTGCTACCGATTTGCTAACTTTCTGTAATATTTGATATTTAAGTTGAAAACATGAAATGCTGTAACACAAATTCCAAATGTTCTAGTTGAGCACTTGTTTCTACTCAACTAATCATTATTTCTGTGATTAGTCAGCTTTTTCCTTTTCAATAAACACATGGAAAAATTACAATTATCTTACTGAAAAATGGTTTAACAGTGTTGCACATGTATAATAATCTGCACTGGTTTTCACAGTTACGGCATTCTTCAAACTATAATAATAAAATAAAGTGAAAAGATATTTACAATTGATTACTTCAAGTTCCTACTATTTACATTTTATGCATCGATACTGTAAATGGCTGTTTACTAAGGCATACAAAGTCAGTGCCTGTACACAGGTAGTTTGCTTGTAAATCTACATATTTCTGTTCTATATGATCCTGTATTCTTCATTAATGCTACTTACAAATCCACGAGTCTGTAGAATTGCCTTGTTTATTTGAGCAGGTATTGAACAATCCTTTTAGTTATTAACAAGTTGAGTGTGTGCTTAAGAGGAGTTTAAAAGTGTTAGCCTTAGAAAGTAGATGAGCCTCTCCCACAAACCACATTTTTTTAAATTTAGGACTTTACGGAGTGTGCTGAAAGACAACAATGAGGCTAATCATCTCCATTTTTACAGGAGGCAACCCCCTGCTTACTAGGCAAGAACCCGTATGAGAACATTCCACTGACTTTGTATGCCTTAGTAAACAGCCATTTACAGTATCGATGCATAAAATGTAAATAGTAGGAACTTGAAGTAATCAATTGTAAATATCGTTTCACTTTATTTTATTATTATAGTTTGAAGAATGCCGTAACTGTGAAAACCAGTGCAGATTATTATACATGTGCAACACTGTTAAACCATTTTTCAGAAAGATAATTGTAATTTTTCCATGTGTTTATTGAAAAGGAAAAAGCTGACTAATCACAGAAATAATGATTAGTTGACTAGAAACAAGTGCTCAACTAGAACATTTGGAATTTGTGTTACAGCAGTTCATGTTTTCAACTTAAATATCAAATATTACAGAAAGTTAGCAAATCGGTAGCAAGTATGCAGGTGCTTCAGTATAGTGGCATAATCATCAACAGACACGTTTGTTTTATAAGAGGTTAAAAGTAATTAGTTTTAACCAGCGTTTCAGGATCATGAGGACATTTTCAGTCATGTCTTGGTGAAGCAGCAATGAAAAACGTGTTTCTTGATTATGTAAATAAAAACATTTAAGAGCATATTTTAGCCAAGAAAGCTCATTAGCAAATTCTAGTTTAAGGCTTCTATAGGAGAACAACAAGCAGACATGTTTCAAACTTTAATTAAAGTGCTCTGATCCTGGATCTGGGAAGGTTCTGGAGTGGCTGGTCTGAGGAGCTGGAGAGTGATGATGGAGAAGCAAGACAGAACATCTTCAGAAGCTCCTGTAAGACAAGTATAACAGTCGTTTAAAAAAAACGAAAAAAAAAAAAAAACAATAGTGTGGCCAGGTGGATAAACGAGGGCTCGGGCGGGATTCGATCCCCAGACTCCCGGGTGAGAGTCATACGCTCTAACCAGTCAGCCAAAGGAACATCCCTTTGGCGAAGTAGCCAGGGCGCATGATCAATCGGGACGTTGCGACAGCACACACACACACACACACACACACACTGTCACAATAGTAAATACTGAAAGTGGATTAACTTAAGAAGAATGGAGTTTTGGACAGAAAGAGCACTGATGTTTCAGCTGGACTCACGAGCCACGAGGACAGACTGATACGGCAGCCACACTTTTAAGTAATCATCAGGTCTGACTGAAACAGCGTTTCTGCCTTTTACAGGTGGACAGAAAAAATAATAATGTTGACACATTGTTGATAATATTACTACATTTCAAGGCTTTTTCAATACAGTGAAATTAGTTGAAACAGAGCCGAGTTGTATTAGAAAACAGCAATCCGCACAGCCCGACAGCCCGGCGAATCTGGGATGAATTAGTGCTGCCTCAACCTCCTCGTCTTTCATTGGGTCACTGGAGTTTAAATTAAGTGGATGAGAAACCCATGGGGAGGGCTCTGCATAAATGAGAGTAAAGTTGAATTTTAAACGCGTTAAAACTGTCACAAAGTGGCGTTAAAAGCGGCGTTTTATGTCACAGAACGGCGAAAAAAGCGGCGTTCAATGTCCGTACCAAACGCCGTATTTTACGCCACCCACACAGAGAACGCGTCTGGGATTAGGGTGACGTAAAAAACGGCGTTCAATGTCCGGAAAAAACGGCGTATTTTACGGGCGTTCTACGGGACCGTTCAGAACGGCGTAAATTACGGCGTTCTGGCAGAGTTTTCGCCGTATTTTACGACGTCTTGGCACATCAAACGGCGTTTTTTTCGCCATTTCTTAACTAGACGGGTTGGGAAAGTGGCGTATTGTGACGGTTTTGGCTTGCCATAGCGATCCAGGCAGCTGCTTCCAGCGCACGGTCCAT